TGTACTTAATAAATAAATTTATAACCCTTTATGTCTCTCACACACATTCTTGTTTGCTTTTGCCAGGTGTGACCTTGCCAGTTTTTGAGCATTACCAGGAAGGAGGAGACAGTAAGTACAAACCAAGCATTTTCTATCTGATGTGTACATAAGGCTATTCTATGCTAATACAAAAATATTTGTCACGTCACGTCTTGCCTTACAAGTCAGTTTACATCATAGGCATAGGTGTACTTACTTTTTTTTTTACTGATGCTTTTCCCTGTTCCTTTGAGATGGAGGGATAATTAGGGACCATAGTGGAGTTTTTCAGATGAGGCGGCGGCTTGTCTTGAATTACCAGGTGTTGAGACTGGTGGCTCTTACCGTGGACATGCACAACAATAATCTGTGGTAACATAAACCACTATAAAGACATTTTTTTAATGGGAAAAGGCTTTAGCTTGCCACTTGCTGAGTTGTCTGTATCCCTCTAGTTTGTAAAGTACTAATCTTTACCTAGTAAGAAAACACCATAGTAGCAATAGCAACAAATATTACTTGATGTTTTGGTGGTTTTTTCCAGGCTATGAGCTGACTGGCTTGGCCAGAGGTGGAGAACAGCTGGCTAAGCTGAAGAGGAACTATGCCAAAGCTGTGGAGCTGCTTGTGGAACTGGCCTCCTTACAGGTTGGTGGGAGGAAAAAAAAAATAGGAGGAGATCATTGGTTCCTCACTGTTGTGAAATGAAAGTAATGTAGTCTCTGTGATTGTAGCTCAATACCTCGAGCTGTACTATATGCTCCTTTAGCCCCAGTGCTGTAAAGTTGCAAGCCATAAAACAGTTACATTACTGTTTCAAAGAAGTCCTTATTCCTTAATGCTAAGAAGAAAGTTTAGTTGAAGAGTTGGTATTTGTAACTGCTTACGTGCAGTGTTCAGCGTGCTATGGACAGTAATAGAAACAATTCTGTTTTCTATCAGGAATGTAGTCTGTAATGGTGCATTACAGGCTTTGGCTTTGTGTATAGAATTGATGGAAATGCTGAATTTATCTTACTATGTATTAATTATTGAATCCTGTTCCATCAGACATCCTTTATTACTTTGGATGAAGCCATTAAAATAACAAACAGACGTGTGAATGCAATTGAACATGGTGAGTATTTTTCCATTTGGGATGCATAATATTTTTCTGTCTCCACGCAAGATGAGGAGCAGGGTCATGGAAACCGATCCTCTTTTGACTGCCTTCTTGTTAGTAGGGTTTCTAACCAGTTCAAGAATTCTTCAGAAGGAATTACAGTAAAGCATATTGCAAGTAGGAACAACAATTAGAAGCCCAGTAGAATGCACTGGAGAACACAGAGATAAATGAATATGCAAACATGAGGAAGCAATGAGGAAGCTGTATTGAGAACCTGTAGAACAAAAATTTCACAAACACATTCTGGAGTCTCCTATAGTGACTTTGTCTTACTTGGTCAAGTCTGTTGACTAGAAACAAAAGGCAGGATGTTTCTATGTGTTAAGGTGTTCCGATAGCTAGTGTAATAGCTTTTAAAACTCTAATGGTGGTGTCTAGTGGGGAGCTGGTGACTTTTTGTTGGTTTTGGATGGGATCACAGAGTAGGCCTCCAGAGATAAATCTTGGTAACCTGTTCAGGTTTGTGTTACAGGAAACAGAACAGTTCTAACCTCAATGCTCTGGTATTTTTCTTTAATCTGAATTGCTTGTCCTTCATGATCTTGATTGTCAATTTGTTTCTTGCACTTTAATTACTGCCTATGTACAATATTGTGGTGATTCCTTTTGCTGCAGTATCCAGGGTGCTTTGATTATTTCAGGTTTCTTTCCGAGTTGGTGATAGCTCAGATTTAATCATCTTTGTGTGTATGCAGTACATGATTCTAAACTATCCTTTTCAATACTGTTTTTCATGGACTTGTACCTTAGAATGTGCAGGCCTTATCTGCCCCTTATCGCTCTGCAAATTGGACTGTGGAAAAGGTTTCCTCTGCAGCCTTCCAAATAACTCTGGTAGTGCTGATAACAGCTTTCTCCTTTCAGAAAGTGATTCTGACACATAGTTTACCCAGTTGGGTGTTAAAGCTTTATCTCTTCCCCTGTGAGGGTATTGTATTTGAATATTTGTTCTCTTTATGGATTTTTTTTCAAACAGAGATCATCATTCTGTGAGTGTGATGGAAGAACATAGTTTTAATTCAAATCATGCCCACCTTCTGCAGGATCTTTTTTTAACCACTTCTATGGGGAAGAAGGACCTTACAAACAATCAGGGATCAGTGCTTACTGATTCCATTGCAGCTTTCAAAAGTACATGCTATGGGAAATTCTGTGATGTTCAGAGTCCTAGTTTAGTCCTGGACTTACTGAAGAAAATAATTACATGTACTTGTCTGTCATGAAATAGTATAATCTTCCATGAAAGATGTGTAAATGTCCCCTAGCCAAGAGAATTGCTAGATTGACGTTATCTGTGTACTGCATTAGATAAATTCCTGGCTAATATAACAGGCAGCCCAACAGTTTCCTTATTTATATTTTTTTTAGTGATTATTCCCAGGATCGAGCGTACTCTTTCTTATATCATCACAGAACTGGATGAACGAGAACGAGAGGAATTCTACAGGTAAATATCTAAAATGAGACTAGACTGGTCTCTCTTTCTCAAACAGACTGTTCCTCAGAAGAGCCCAAAGAGCAAACACTATTAATCATGACCTGGTTCTTACTGCACAGTGAGTCTCCAGCGCTGGGCACTTGGACACCTGCAATTACTCTCTGAAAGTTACAAGATGATTCCCTACCACTAAGATTACACAGTTGTCCTTAATGATTCCTCCAGAGGGAATGATGTGATACAGTACACTGAGGTGTTCTGCTTTAACGACACCTCTGCCATAGAAGTCAGTGTTTGGGCTACCTGAAGCAAAAATGTCAAACCTGAAATGAATTAAAGGAGAATTAACTTCATTAAAGACAAGCAAAGTAGTATAATGCAGTGCTTATGATCAAGAATATAATTTATAGTTTGATGAAGAAATGGGTTAAACTGCAGAGAGGAAGTTTTTCAATGGCAGCAGCTAGCAATGAAACCCTTTTGCCATTTGTTACAAGGATTTTCATTTCCTGGAGAACTTTTCCAGGCAGCTTTACCCTATCCAGGTTGTATGACATCTTTGCTGCTAGTGGGTTTTATGAAAACATCGTATTGCTTTCACAGACAAACCACATTTCTCTTCACAGGTTAAAGAAGATCCAGGAGAAGAAAAAAGTATTGAAAGAAAAATCTGAGAAAGAACGGGAGCTGCGGAGGGCTGCTGGTGGGGAACACGAACCGGCCAATCTCTTAGCAGAAGAGAAGGATGAAGACCTTCTCTTTGAGTAACCCAGCACAGTTGTTGTATTTGGAGCAGGGGACCCAGAATACAGAATGTCCAATTGCAATATAATTCAGGACGTGTTGCCTCAATGATACTTACGTGGCTTCTCAGTTGGTGTGTAAGTCTTGAATTGAGTGGATTGTGGATTTCTCTCAGGAGATTAGAAATCTGGGAGCTTGACTGCAGCATAGGAGGAAAAGGAGAGATGAGTCAGGTGCTTTACTGTCAGGAAAGCCTTCTACTGCACGTTCAGCCTGTTTCTTCACTTGGTAAGAATGACTGCCCATAGGTGTGGATTTTGCAGGATAGCTATTTTTGCCTAATTAGGTTCCTCTTTAATTGCTCCCCTTCCTAGTGCAAGCAGAGGAAAATGTTACTTAGGGAGGGAGATGCATGTAATGTTCTTTACTGCTGAACTATTAATGTTTAAGTTTCTTAAAGCAGGTGCCAGTACAGCTGAAGTCAGATGTCAGTAACTCTAGTTTTCTAACCTGTTGATGAAATCCACAGTCTTCTGTGATTTATTTTTGTTGCACGATTGTTACCATTGGCTTAAAACGTCTATGGTTTTAATTGGAGTTTCTGCCAACTTGTGTACTGTCTGTGCTAGAAACAAGTAAAAATTTTAAGTGTTAAATACCTGATGTCTGGCTCAAGTTGCTAGAAGATGGTGGTCTTAAAGGTTGTCATGTTGTCCTCTACTTCATCCCCTACCCTCATTGGGCATGTCTCTCTCCAGCCTGTGTCCTCCACATTCACCTAACCTTTACTGCTTTAGATAAGTAACCAAGGAGAAGTGGCTCCCTCCTGCCACAAACACATAGAATCACAGAATCTTCATGGTAGAAGGGACCTTTGAGATCATCGAGTCCAACCACAAAACCAAACCAAAACAAACACACCCACAGACACACACAAACCAACTATCTCGGGCACTAGAGCATGCCCTGAAGTGCCTTATCTACATGTTTCTTAAATACCTCCAGGGATAGCGACTCCACCACCTCCCTGGGCAGGCTGCTCCAGTGCCTGGCTGCTCTCTCAGTAAAGTAATTCTTCCTAATATCTAATCTAATCCTCCCCTGCTGCAACTTCAGACCATTTCCTCTGGTCCTGTCATTATTCCCTTGGGAGAAGAGGCCAACACCCACCCCTCTACAACCTCCTTTCAGGGAGTTGTAGAGGGCAATGAGGTCCCCCCTCAGCCTCCTCTTCTCCAAACTAAACATGCCCAGTTCCCTCAGCCTCTCCTCACAGGACTTGTTCTCCAGACCCCTCACCAGCTTGGCAGCTCTCCTCTGGACATGCTCCAGCACATGTCCTCATAGTGAGGGGCCCAGAACGGGACACGGTACTCAAGGTGAAGCACAAGGACACTTCTCTTTTGAAGCTGTACAGTACAGCTGAAGAGTAAGTCCATACTCTGCTGTAAGACACAGGTCCAGCTTGAAAGAGAGAAACTGTAGATCTGAGGACATGTTGTTACCTCTCCCACCGGATGCATGGTGCCAGAAGGAACAGAGAACATCCTCTAGGACACTGATGGGTCACAGCATCTTTCACACATTCAGCAAAGTGGCAGAAAGAAAACTCCCAAGATCCACTACAAGAAGTAAAATTGTACAGTGATTTATTTTAAATCTAGAAATATTTTACATTTTTACATTAGTGTGCAGTTCATGATGTCTCAAAATACAGAGTGCAGATACACGTATAAAAGTACAATGTGGGGCTAACCACAGGTCTCAGTAAAGTTACCTTAATTATTTAAGGCATTAAACCCCTCATATTTTAAAAAGTCACATATAATTACATTCAAAAATTTCTTTTATGCAATTCAGCTAACATGTCTTTTTAATTAAATCTGGACTGGTAAAAATGCAGATACCCTCATTTCAGTCTGATACAGCTCACTACAAAGCCTGTGATAAGGTTGAAGAGTTTGACCAGTGAAGTTTGCATAGTCTCTTTTACTCTCAAGGGAATTAACACACATTCTTCATCAAAGAAGGCAGAGTAATTTCTTACACAGGGTATTTCCAAGCTGGCAGCGGATGGACAGCCAGGTTCATTTCCGACTGCTGCTCAAGCCTCTCCTCTCAGCAGGAGAGAAAGGTAGCATTGGTTATAAACTATCATAGCACCTCTCTACGCGGATGTCAGTGAGTACCACGTGCCTTGGGAATTAAAAGAGTACAGCTGAACTTCAAACAACATTCTTTAAGTCTACATTCAAAAGCTTATTTGTATAAAAACAGCTTCTGTACACCATTTCAGAAAAACTGGGGAGACACACATTAGTCAAACACATTAATGGCATGACTTACTGTGACTGGCCCTGTGTATGGACACGGGATACCGAGGGCGGAGCAGCAGCCATCGCGGTTACCTTAACGAAGACATTTTACCCTTTCCTTCCAACTTCTGGTCCAACTATGGAACAGTCAATACCAAAAAGCCTAATATATCTACAATCATCTTTTTTAAAAAAAGGGTAGAATTGATACAGTATTTTGTAACCTATGAAACACTGACTATCCAATATACCTGAACATCGTAGTTGTCATAAACTATGGATTAAACTGAGAAAGTGCCTGCAATGTGAGGCAAAAAGCTGTTATTTTGAATATCCACCCCTTAGGCCAACAGCCAGCACGTCATTATTTCTAACACTGAATTGAACTAAAGATATTAAAGTTTCCAACCCCATTTCTTTCTGGAGGGCATTACTTATCCCCACTAATTGTTTAATTGCTTTTCAGCCCTAAATACTAATTGAACCAGCAAATAATTTTGCTTACTAACAAGACACAAATGCACTCTATACTTCCATTTTTCAATACAAAAATGTACTGAGTGTTAGTTCAGTAACTAGGAAAGTTATCTGACAATTTCTTTGTATCTGCTGGATACTTTGAGCTCTCTATTTAACTATGGGTGTGAATTTGTTCCATTAACATTGGACGAAAGAATACATGCAGTAGAGAATGGAAAAAAAAAAAATCAACTACTTTTTCATCCTTCAACATCAGACAGGAGTGAACTACACATTGACGTAACTCCAGTGTTTTACCTGCAGGAACAAAGAAACACTATGGCTAAATTGAAGAGATATTCACAGTCAAGGTTCTTTGTGCTACCCAAAAGCAAAACATCCAAGACACTACTACTCAGTGATAGAACAGCCCTAATGCAGATGCACAGCCTTAGTAGTTAAACCTTCACAGCTCAGAATCGTTTGAGGATGCAGAGATGTTCCCACCTGCTTTGCAGAACACACCGGGATACAGACCGACCTTGCTTTTTGTTCACTTGTTTCAAGTTTTTTGTTTGTTTTAGCAATTACAAATTGTGACTTCTCAGTCATTTACCAGTGTTTTACACATACTTTCACTGCAGCACTGAGCAAATGCAGGACAGTATGTTGGGTAGTGAATTACATTACTCAGTTATAAAACCACTGAGTTTTACACACTCAGCTACTTTAATTCCAGTTAGTTATCCATTAGACCAACAGCCACAAGATGAACTATTTTCAGAGATTAAAAAACCCCACTACCTTCCAATGTTCAGCACATCAGTCTATTCTAGTCAGTATTGGGTTATAAAACATGAGAACTTAAGTTGACTTTTAAGCAGCACGTCTTATAACTATGTATTTTTCACAAAAATATAACCTCTGCCTTTCTAAAGTTCTCTAAAGTTTTGTGGAAAACAGCAGCTCCAATCAGTCAATATGTTTTAAAGAAAATTCCATAAAAATATCACATCTAAAAGATCAATATAATATTCACCTTTGATTGGACCTAAAATTAATGTGCAGTCAAATCCGATTTTAAAAGTCTGACTAAAAAGACACAAGGATTGAAATATTTACATTATACACATTTTCCAATTACAGTGCTATCAGAAAGTGGAATGTTTGAGAATTAAAATATTAACTCAAGCCTCACAGGGCAGCTCCAGACCAGAGCAGCATCTTCATTCTGTGGTTGTTTTTTTTTTTTTTTAACAGATTTCTCGTTAATAACATTTTTCCTGTGTAGATTATTTCTCTGCCCAATGATCTGTAGAATTATGCTCCTGAACTACCATCATGTCCCACAAAGTCATTAAGTTAAGTGTTAAATAATATTCATATTTATAACTATGTGACAGCATGGACTGTATATACACACACACTTTAAATCTTTGATTTCATAAGGGTGATACTAGGTAAAAAAAGGTGAATTTACGTATAAAAGTAGTTGCTAGAAAAATCCATCTAAAGCTTTAGAATTTAGCCAAAGTCTCCATCTTTAGACCACTGAGAAAGAAAACTTGAACAATCTTTAGATCAGTTAAATCGGCTCACAAGCTGAGGAGCGTATTTTTTCAATAATACGCAATTCACTGGCAAAGGACGCAGCCACTGAGGTCTAGAGCTCACACACATTTATACTGGAATAGGGCAGAGCTACACACGTTCTCCCTGGAAAGATTACTAGATTGAAGTCCCTTTGTCTCTTGAAATTGCTCTCTCATCGTAGCCAGGTAGAGGGCACCCACTGGGGTTCTGTGTCAAGTTTGTTTATTAACCGAAGTAACTCTTGGTACGCCTTGTCAAGATCCGAATTCACAATTGCTGTATCAAAGTAGTGGCCATTGTTCTGTTCCATCTCCCTCGTCTTCTCTATGATCTCTCTCAGCTCTTCTGGCTGCAATCAAAAATGGAGAGTTAGTCTATGTTGGTGAAGGAGAGTGTTACATACAATAGAGTAGCAGAAGGTAACATTTCTACTCAAGGAAGTCTTCTACACAAATTTTCACAGTATTGCTATTGGCTATTGAACAGATTACAACAACATTGAACCAAGATACATATTTGAAAGTTAAGAGCACTCAAGACAATCCTTTCTGGTTGGACGTAAGTGGCAAACAGCAAATAATGGTCACAGACTGAATAAAAGAGGAAGATCTACCACTGCTCATTATATGACATTCATCAGCTCTTAAATCACATTTCTGAAAAATAAGTTAGGTTGCTAAGCCTGTTATCCTTCTGAAAAAGACTGGAGATAGCAAAGATAGTGTGGGAGAAAGTTTAATGGCATAGAACAAGACAACATTCCTCTGGAGACATAGACATGGAGACTAAAAACACCGAACCTCCCAATTCCAAATAATGAGTAAGCAAATTTGTTTACCGAAAGCCTCCCTGATCTGTAAATAAAAAGCAGCATGACTTCAGAAGAAGTGTTAGACACATTACCTTTGGATTTTTCCCTTCTTTGGCCAATAAAGCACGTAATCTCTCTTGTGAAGGTGGTGCAACAAATATAATATATGGCTTCAAGTCAGAATTACGTAGTGTCTTCAGTGACTGTAGAAATAGGGTGTATAAAATATTTAACAGTTCCACAGATAAAAAGGGTATTTAATAATGCATTATTGACATGCTGTAAGTGATGATAAATTCTTCAAACACAATGACAATCGTACAATATATTAACAGAAGTATAATTAACCATAACCGTATTACATCACCACTCAGAGCTCAGTCACATTTTCCTACAAACTTGATATTCCAACATTTTTCTGCTTCGTGGAACCCAAACATTTACTTTTGTTCTAGAATATTCTGAAGGAACGTATTTTTCGGTACTCAAAAGCAAAAGAGAATCACCTACATTGGATTAAGTCTCCTCACAATGCTAAGGAATGGTATCAGATTTTAAGAGAGAAGAGTCTTCAAAATACACTGACAGAGCAGGACCAGCTCTATTGATGGATCCCCTGGTGTTAACTGACCAGGTAGCCTGTGCTATATGCTTGTCCCAATCTTTAAAGGATCCACCACCCACTGCTTTCAGGGGAGGTTTTAACAATCCATTGTATCGCTCAATTTTCCCAGAAGCTGATGCACGATAGGGGATGTGGTATATCCAGTCAATGCCATGTTCTTTTGCTTATTTTTAAGATTGTTTCTGAAATGAGTTCCATTGTGTCACTCAATTCTTTCTGGAGTACCATGTCACCACAACAGTTTAACCTTTTCTGTTTTTAAGATTAAAATGCAAGGTATCAGATTCACTACTACTGTATGCTTAGCATATTTTTTGTCAGGTTATGTTTATATCAAGAAACAGGAAATAAAAAGAACGAAACTGTAGTTTAATTTTTCCAAAAGGTTCCTTCTATGTGACTGGAGACACAGAACTTGTCTCTGAGATAGATTTTTACAACCACAGAATAAGATCAATTTTCAAAGTGTTATGAATTTTCAACTTCGTACATCCTTTGCAATACCCATGAGCTATTCTAGTAAAGTATCACATGGTCCCAACTGGTGATTGCTAATTGTAACTTCAATACTACCAGACTTTACTGATGTGTCCGAGTTTTTTCAGCATCTGTAACAACAGATGACCTCATACATATAATATATATTAGAAATACATAAGAAAATATATTAGAAAATGGGCTGTGTTCTAGCACTCTGCATCCTGCCACATTTAACTTATTTCCAAGTTGCAGTCTGTGTGCACAGTTTGTCTCTCCATAATCAAAAGGCCACTGCTAAAGAGCCTTTCAATATTGTTGACACAATGTACTTCAATCCTGTCTCTTACAGAACTGCATAAACATTCCCAAAATGCAGTTTCCAGGAATAATCACAAACAATCTCCTCCATCTTCAAATACTCCAGAGCTCACAGAGTAATTGGAAGACAGAGACACAAATCTTATTTTAATTAATTGTTCAGATAGTTCTCACCAGCTTTAAGTATCTGGAAAGCCAGGCCCCTGTTACCTTTAGCACAGATAAAGAAGATGTGTATATTTCCAAACAAGGAGTAAGAAGGCTGTATTCATAACACACTAAATAGTTAACTGAACACCACTAAAAGAAAACTTGGAATATACATAAAACGGGCCTTGAAAACAGTCATTTTATATAAACCAAATACAGCTCTTTAGATTTTCACAGTAGCTTCTACAATTAAAACACAACAGGCAACAGCTTTACCATACCTGGGTATGAAGATTTAAAAGGCATATCTTGCCAGAGTTGATTACTTGCCGCACGGAGTCTATGCTGGTACCATAGAGGTTCTTTTCAAACTCTCCATACTCAATGAACTTCCCTGCAGCTATGTCACTCTCAAATGCCTGTCGGGAAATGAAATGGTAATCCCTGCCAGCTACTTCGGTCTCTCGCCTGCTCCGAGTGGTATCTACAAACAAGAGCAACAAAAAAAAGAAATCATGACAGCGATGCATCTGTAGAACTGAAGAGGAGAAATACGTATTGCCCTTAGGAGAGACATTGCTAACCAAACAAAAAAAGGCTTTTGAAATATCTGAGAAATGCAAGTATGTTATTTTCTACAATAAGTATCCCTAGACAGATTAAGTTTAAAGAGGCTGAACGTACATTTCGAGGTTCTGTTTACGCTAACCAAACAAAAAAAGGCTTTTGAAATATCTGAGAAATGCAAGTATGTTATTTTCTACAATAAGTATCCCTAGACAGATTAAGTTTAAAGAGGCTGAAGGTACATTTCGAGGTTCTGTTTACATTATCTAGAGGGAAAAAAAAACAGTCAACAAGAAAAAGAATAGTGTCACCTCTGCAGCTGCATTCTGGATGTGAAAACAGCTATTAGATGTTTACAAGAAGTTTAGTTTTAAGCTGTTTGCAAACCTAATCTAGGGTACATTATACATTAAAAATATAAAATCCACTGAAATGTGAGTAATTTGTGAAGGCACTAAAGCCACCTAAATTTAAATATATGCAGCATAAGCAGGTTAAAAATTCTTTGACTGATGTACTGGTTTCTTTTTTAAACTTCTGTAACTCACTCCAATGTTATTCAAACTGAAATATATGCATCTTATAATACCTCTATACACTGTGTTGGGAAACTGGATTTGCACTGACTTACCAAAGCTACTTTTTGCCACACAAGATATAACTTTATTTGTCCTTTATCCAAGAACTGACTATATCCTGCTCAAAACCCCCAAACTTCTAATTGCTATTTTTTGACACGAGAGGATTTGTCTGCAGAAAGTGTTTAGAATAAGCAATCGTTTCTGCCCGTCAAACTTACGGGGAACTGCAGAGGCAAAGCGATCCACTTCGTTATTCATAAGTCTCTGCCGCAGCTCGTTTTGGCCGCAGTTCTGTGGGCCAATCAGAACAATAGGTCGTTTCCTGTTTGCCGGTTGATGATACAATGACATTTCCTCATAGGTCAAAATTTCCTCATTGTCATAATCTTGAGAGAGAAACAATTAAATAGTTAGAACGTACTTGACTGCTGCATGTATTACCTGTCACGCGGGATCAAACTGCAGTAGGCTCCTGACTGCCCAGCATCTAACTGCCAGTCACCACAGAACCCAATGGAACCCCAAAGACCACCACTTCCCAGGAAAATGAGGCTTCCCCCCCCCGTTTCTGGAGAAAGAAAATGTGTTTCCGCTTACTACTGATATGAGTAGCAACAAACTCAAGAAACAACTTACTTGCAAAAGAATAAATTTCTAGTACAAGACTAACAGTTTATGCCCAACAACAGTAGTTTTGTAAGAATATAGTATAAATAGCCTACAAACTCTCCATGGAGAAAGTTTCCATTTAATAAACTTAATTACGCAGCGATGATATTACAAAACCATCTTAAATTGGTTCATCATTGTAAAATTACGAGTGCTTTTCTGCCTAAAAATCTACCTGGTTTTTCACCCCATCATTTGGTCTAATAAAGACACTACACGACCTTACAAATTCTGCCACCATCTTTCACTGAATGTTATTACAAACTGTACTACTGCTCCCAAAAATAACATTATCAGGCGGTATTTTTAACATCATATCCTGAATTTCAGCACTCTTTTCACAAGGCTATTTGTAGAATCTTTTATAGTTGCTAGTAAGTGCACATGCTATGCAAAAGATGTTTCTTACCATCGTTTTTATTTGCATTGTATAAAACCTTTTTCCGTTTCTTCTTGTTTTTCTTCGCACACCAGAGTTTTCCTAGCCAAAATAAAAATTATCACAATCAAACACCATACAATAAAAAAAACCCTTCCTATCCCACTCACTATCTGTAACTTTAAAGTTGGAAATTTATTCTGCAGTTTTGAAAAAGCACAATATTCTTAATTTCATTACATCGGTTTGGTGTATTAAGCAAAGGTTGCATGCCAAGGACTTCAGCTGAGTCATGGCAGATAAAATTATTTAAGAAAATAGGGGCATTCCAAATTCCCCTACATCATCCTATTTATATTGTATCTAGTTATGAAAAAAACATGATTTATAGAACAAAGTGCTAAATTCAGACCATTAATTACACAAAATATTTCAAAGAATCATCCCACTTGTCTTACAAAAAAAATTGAAAAGTTTTCTACAAGTCTACAATGACAAGGTTGCAGATACCACTAATTAGCACCTCTGTAAAAGTCAGATTTTTTTTCCTTGGAAAGCATATATCCGACCTGATTTTTCTGGCTCCTTGTCTTCTTCTATGGTTTGCTTCATTGCTTCTCTTTGTTGCTGAAAACTTTTTCCTAAATGCATTTAAAAAAAATAAAAAAGCAGTTAACATTTAGAAACCATTTCCATGCTTCTTTTGTAATGACTTACTCATTTTACTTTTTCATAAGCTTTTACATCTCTGAGGTTTCTAGTAGAATATGACATAAGAGAAATTTAAAAAGAGAAATTAAAATTGCTGCGAAGTTTGTCTATTGCTTTGAAAATATATTCATCAAGAAAGACTTGAAGAACATGTGTACTGTTCTGGACAGCTTTGCCTGGAAAACTGAAACTACTGGAAAGACTATTTTTCCCCACTATGATGATACGGTTTTCTAATTCTTTTTGTGTGTTGTGTTCTATTTATACTAAATCTTATGAACTTCATATTGAAAAAGATTAGTCTATATTTAAATCAGTGACCCTCTCAACTTACTCAAATGTCGTAAAGTAACAGTGTAATATTCTACAGAATTTGATAGATCTTCTTTTCACTGTGGTTAACAGTTCAGCCAGATCTTTAATGGACCAGAGTGCAGTACAGATTTCAATGCAAAAATTATATATTGACTTCAATGCCTGAAAACGTACTACTCAAAGGGTCCCAAGAACTAAAAAGGAGGCATGACTGTTACAAGTAACTGAAGCTCCTCACTAAGTGAAAACATGCAGAAAGGTTACCATGTAGATAATGCATTTTTCAAATAGACTACTTGATGTAGTAAGAAACCGAACAGCTGCACTCATCTCCAGAGAAACAGGCTGAAGTCCCAATTTCTGCCATAGCCAGCCAGCAGAGGGAACTCTGAATCCACAGAGTCCCCAGGGTGGAGGAATAAAGGGAGAGGAAAGTGGATCTTGAAAGGTGAACTGCAGTGACTGGTAGCTTTACTTTAAGAGGTCAACATTTCAAGTGGATTACATACCCAACAGCAGGCTCTGTTGCAAAAGGTTCAAAGTCACACATATTTAAGGTAATGGATATTTAAAGGTACACGAGTCTTTGAAAACCAGAATATTGTTCATATAGCTATTTGACTGACTGGCTGTCAAGCTTTTTCTAGAACTTTATTTACCAGGGATAAGGCCTGCCAATGGCTGATTATCTTCATCTCCATCTCTGTAAGCCTGCCACCAGTTCGGATCTTCTTGGCTGATCACATGGAGTATATCTCCTTTTTGAAAAGATAGGCCTAACTCTCGGCAGGGGACGTAAGGGTCATCAGAGGGATCATAGTCAAAATGCGCTTTCACGTGTATCTGTGGAAGATCAAATGTTAAAACAGAAGAAAAAAAAACCCAAACCCTGTGACTTCTGATGAACTAAACCTCATCTTCCTGAGATTGCAGTGAAACTCCAATATATAAAAACTCCAAGATTCTATAAAATGGAAATTTTATCTGGGGCATACAGGAGATACTGGAATGGAACCATCACCGAGGTTAGCAATGGAATAGACACAGTTGTGGTAGGCTGGAAGCGAAGGCCTGAATTTAACTCTTGTTATTTCTAAAATATATGCAATTTCCTCACCATTTTAGGAGGCAAAAACCCCTGAGCTACTGACTTAAGTTGTCCGCATTCAAAAAGTATCAGAGATATTCTGAGTTGTTTAAAATACCTAATAAATACACAGACTGAAACAAATTTGCTGGGTTTTAGGTGGTTTCACTTGAAAAATATTTTACTTTGTCCACTAATGTTTTTGTTTGGATGGGATATAAATTGTGTATTCTTTCTTCAGACTCTTCAAGTTTGTTAAAGAAAAGTATGCTAGCTAAAAAGATAATGAGCAAAGTTTCCAGTATACAAGCCTTTCCTACCAAAGCATATTTGGAAGTTCCGTCGACCCCTTTTTTTTTTAATAGAGAAATTGGGAATTTCAAAATATAATTTCAGAAGCACAGGCAGTTCTGCTATTATAATTTTTTACTATTTTAGAAACGGAGTTAAAATCATACTAAGTTTCAGCTTAACACCATGAATTTATTTTCAACAATGAAATCAGGAGTTAGTCTGGTAACAACCCAATTTAAACTGTTAAGTTTTGGTTTTGTTCCACAATGTAAGTGACCTACAGAAAATCTTTCTACGTTATTACTAGAAAAACAAGGCACGTATCACCAAGCTCAAGAACTTATGTAGAGCTACTTACAACTGTTTCCTTCGCAGGAGGTGGCTTGCTCTGCTGACTGGGAATCAATACAAAGGTCAGAGTACCATGCATGTCAGCCTGAGATGAAAGACAGACTTTTCATATGCTGTATCAAAATCCATCTCACAGTTCAGAATTTTAATAAATAACATATTCTAGAAAATGCTTTAAAAATGCCCATAAAAGGCAGTTCCCAACAGCACATCATCTTACCCCTTAACTGGTTTAAGACACAAAGCACAGATACAGATGCAGTGATTCAGTGGAAGGCTAGAAAGCCAAATGTTGATATTCAGATTTTAAAAGCCTAGCATTCTTTAGCGTACATAAACTATTTCTATTTGAAATGAAGCAGCTGCAATTCTGTCAAGCTGAGACAGAGAAGAAATGGAGACTAATTCTCTTGCTCTGTTCAAAAACACCAACAAGTAGATCTATGCTGGGAAAAGAAAAATAATAATCTTTTACATTTTTTTTTAAATTGCTTAAGTGGAACAGTGTTTTCAAATCTAAACATTTCTGCTCTGATTTTATACTTTTAACATCAAAGTATACAAAACACTGTTTAAAAATTTAATTAACATACTCAAGTCTTGCATCTGCAAAGTACTAATATCAATATTTCAATAAGCGCTACTAAGAAAGTAAATGTAATAAACATCCTGGATTTAAAGGACTCTTATTTGTTTGTATACTCTTGCATGCAGAGTGTGTTCACACACATAATGAATATCTAGATAAAAAGGGAGCAACACCCTGCGAGAAGGGTGCCTCACATCCCATACATTATCTCATGAACTGTAACACAACAATTTATGTTGCATAAAACCAAAGTGTGTGTATGTATGTATCTCAAAAAATTCAGACCTAAGGCTTAAATAAAAGAAACATAACTGAACATAACATGGATTAGGCTGTAGGAAAGGCAAGTCCACAATTTTCAGTCAGCATACAGAGTTTCACGAGGAATGCATAGAATTTCAGCGATCGTGTGAATAGTCTTGTCTAAAGTCAAGCACAGTTTATCATCAGTTGCTAAGCCAGTGGTGAGGCAAAATGAAGGGAAGTTAATTTCCTTCTGTGCTTGTTTTTTTGGGGGACTGAAACACTGTTAAACTTCCACTTCTATGTTACAAAATACAAATGACAACATATAAATATTAATTATTTTTTAAAAAATATATTTTAAAACTATGTATAGTTTTTTAATTTTTTCAGCAAGTAATTTACTCTTACGTATTGTCGTTTTAAATCTTTTATTCTTTAACTCCAGGTTGCAGAAGCTGCTCAAGAGCAGAACAAGCTCTCTGCAGAGAACTAAACTGCCAGAGTTGAATTGTATGTCAAGCATCTATAAAACACTCTTTTCAGAAGCACAGGACTTAGCTAAGTACAGCTTTTTAAGAAAGATATAGAGATGGCAATGGAGACAATTACAGAGTGAGGTGAAAAATCTCAATATCTCTGGATCCAAAAAAAACCACACAGAGATTGAAAGCTTTTCAAATAAGAATATTTTAAAATCACTTAAAAAAACCCCCACAACCCAAGACCTCACAGATTTCTCCCTCCACTTGACCTCATTCCATGCATTAGCTGAAAATTCTGAGCAGCAAATATCAGGAAAAAAATCCAACTAAAGGTAGAAATTGTTCATTAAAATCTACAGTCTTACTGTAGCATGAGACAACCTCATCTATGGATATTGCTGCCTACTCTTCCTACAATAATGCAATCTATAGCAGAACCCAGGTCTTCGTCCTGATTTTGGTATGTCTACAGGGCATAGATCTACTAAGTAACTCGAATATATTTTTTTCCCCTCCAAAGATGCCATTAAGTAAGTGCTAGTGGATATTTCTAATGTTTTGTATCAAAGTTATAGTTAACTTTTTCAGAACTTGTCCCTTTCATCTCTTTTCACTTTGAGCAAATGGTCCTGCCTGCTGTAATGATGAAAATTAACTACATGCCAGCCAGACACTACCAGTCACACATCTATTAATCCAGACTAAACCAGACAAAGATGAAAAATCAGGGCTTTTCAAAGCTAAATGAAGTTTTTCTGAGAAATCATTAAAAGCAAGCCTCAAGATGATAACTTAACTCTTCCACCTTTGGAGGATTAATTTTTCCAGATAACTACCATTAAACTTATTAATGTCATACTATGCACTAGAAAGAAAACTTGAAATAGCCCTCCACATATAAATACTACCTATAAGAATGAAAACACTTTTAAACCAATGTTAAACATGAGTACAAACAACAAGCAGAGACAACAGGCTTCAGTCTTATGAAATGAGTATATTTTGCAGGGAAAACAAGAAGCATTGAACTTACCAACAAATCAAAAACTTCATTAACATCTTTTCCACGAATCTCAATGCCATTAATTTCCAGAACTTCGTCCCCTTCATGTAACAGCCCACTCTTCTCTGCGGCACCTCCTTTCACTATTCGACTAATGATAACAGAATCCATTTCATTGCGAACAGTAGCACCCTGTGTAGTAGCAACATGTTCTGAATTTATTATATATATGAAACTCAAAGCCATCTATTGTATATATTCCAAGCCAGTGGAAAAACATTTCTATGTTGAAAGTGAACGCAAGTAACAGCTCATATGCATACACTCAATGCTCCAGTTTAAAAAAGTTCACTGCTTAATTTCTTCAAGCTGCACTAAAGATAGAAGAATTTAGTTGCTCCATACCATAAGATTCATAATCTTTTTTTAAAAAAATGTTTTTCTAAGGAAACACGTATTTGAAAGATGCAAAATAGAAGATGAGAGTTGTAGAAAAACGCCAAAAACCATGGTTGGCACATGATATAAGCTCCCCTACAGCAAAGACTGGGATAGAGACTTTTGTCAAAAAGCCCTGTCCAAACCCGAGGTGACAGAAGTTGTATAGATTCTAAATGGTAGTACAGCTACTGATACATGAAGATACACACAAGTTTATTATCTATGACTATTTCTTATTTTGGAGGGAGAGAGAATATTTACATGTACACCTCCACATTCAAATTCCAAAACTCTCATAGCAATCTGCAAAGGACAAAAGAGCTTGCCTCCCTTATATATAACTGAGTACCAGTACTTACCAATGGAATATCCCGAGCTTTTTCAATGCGAACTATTTTAACTGTCTCCCCTCCATACACGCCAACATTTTCATAAATTTTTTCATCTGTCACAGACTCTGGTTGCATTTCCTGTTCTGCAACCTTATCATGAGCCAGTAAAAGTGCCTAATGTTAAAAAATGATCAGTTCAGTTACAAAACATTTCACAGTTTATATGTATACAAAGTAGTAGAGTTCAATGAAATTCTGCGATTTGAATAGTCTTTGCAGGTTACAGAATATTGCAATTTATTTAAGCAATAGAAAAAAAAATATAAATCATCACAGCTACACAGTGCTTACTGCTATACACTTTCCAAAACTTTCCCTTCTAATTCAAAAAGAATATAAAAGCAATTTTGAGCACTCAACTGCCACCATATCTACAGTTTCTCCTTCCTAAAAAAAAAAACCAGGCACTGGTTTACTATGTGACTGAGGATACAAACGTAAGAAGTTACTGCAGTGAAAACTACTCACGGATTTACAACATCACTACAGGACAAAATTTCCTTTATGCACCCTACGGTAAGCATGAAACAGCTGTCAAACAAGACGACAGATAAGCAAAGCAGCTCTTGTGTTGCCCTGACTCACCTAGTCTCCTGCTATATTGTTTATGTGCAAATTACCCTGTAATATATGTAGAATTGTAGCAAGGGCTGAATAAAATCATGCAATACACTTGATTAGCAAGTCTCCATTAGTTGCTGGAAATGGAAAACTCCTCATCCTAGGAAAGATATTAAGAGATCTGCACAGAGTTGAAGCATAAAATCCATCCTTGTCCAGTCAGCCCAGGACATTTGCAAAAAATAAGTTACGATGAAAACAGCACCAGGACATAAATCTATTAGATGCGAAGTTCCATTTTGTTTTACCTGCATGTGAGGGGCATTCAGCAAAGCATTTAGCTCCTGCCCATCCTTGTGGTGACTGGGTTTCAAAACACTCTGTACCTAAAAAGAAATCAAATAGTGAAACTCTTAATCTATCCAGTAATTTATCAATTCACCCTCCACTAATGAAGCACAAAACCCTAGCTGCAATTATTCGTTTTACTGAAAGTAACGTATATCCATGTAATTGTGACGCTGATTGAACTCGATCTGGTACACATCAGGAAAACATGCAATGAGACCACAGGACTACTCCAGCACATCTTGCCTCGGTACCAAATCTAAGCATCACAGAGATTTGTCAATACCAGAGACTAGCCATGAGGTCAGCTACCACAAAGGAGCACACACAAAAAATCTAAACTCTAGAAAGGAACACAATAGCGAAATCAGCCATAATGAAATCTATTATGTGAATATTCTGGGTCCTTTAAAATGGACTTATTTCTCATTAACATGACTCGCCTTCTTTTTCCCTAAAAGCTGACAGCTTACTTTTGCCCAAACTATTTCCACCAACAGCAAAATCAAAGATTCCAAGTCAGGTCTTGCAACGTATCCTAGAGTCCCTGTCTCAGAGAGTGTACGAGTTAAAACTTCAAAAGACCCCAGGAAACCAGGTTTCTTTGGCTGGTTCCAAAATAATCCACATTAACAGCTTTTGCTCAAACAGCTTTAGTTGCCTAAAAAGGTTTGCCTTCTCATACAGTTACCAAATATACATTTCTTGCCATCATTTCTTGCAAATACTAGAAAATCCTGGTATGTTTACAGAGAAAGCCAGGAACAGAGAAGTCACTCTTACCCAAAGGTAAGGGTGAAGATACTTTCCATAGCCATTACCCTCTGGCCTAATCTGACCAAAGGCACAAATTAATTCAGAGACATCAAAAGCAGATTATACATATCAGAACAGCAGCTTTCAGTGGGATGAAAAACATTTTTTTTCAAGAGCTTTTTACTCTTAAGGATGAGGTAATGTGACATCACAGAGAATCAAGAAGCCACAAGTTCCAAAGCAAAGATAATTAAGCTTCTTGTGTGATCTAACAATATCAAAAAGTCTGAAGAGCCTCTATCCTAGGAGCAATTCTCTAGAAATATGCTAGCAATTCTCTTGGATGCTACCAGATGCCTCAGTCATGCTTCTGAACTGCCCAGGAAGCTATTATGCCCTGCTTAGCCTGAATTTTGGGATGCCGTATAGGAGAGCACTGTAAAGGATAAATTTCACTAACAGATTTTCCTGTGTTGAAAGAAGAGATTCTTCTCTACAAAAGACTCTCATAGAGGCTTATTTAAGGTCTCTATCTTTCAAGGGTCTTTCCTTTCTTGAAGCTACAAGAAGCTTTAAAGCCTTATTTATTCCATCTTTATGACCCTTTTACAGGAAAACCTACTCAGAAAGCAACTTAGAAGTCCTGCAAGACAGACAACCCTTTGAATGCAAGGTCAGACGCTGGGGATTTGAGAGGGGAAAAGGCGGCAACCAGGCCCAACCAGTCATTCTGTGTGCAGTGATTACCCTTCATTCAAGTTGAATTGCTGCTTTGAATAATTCAATTATTCAAAACTTTAATAGCTCCTCCCCCCCTTTTAAGAGAAAGATATATTTATTATTTGCCTAGTTAATGAAGCACTAGGAAAGCTTCAGGCTGCTATATACACCATTTATTACACCAGTACTGCCACATGCCAGATTCCTTTGTTACTCATGGCAATGAATCCCATGGTTTTATCAGATGAAGAAACCTGAATGTAGGCTATCATTCCAAAAGTGACACACTACAGACAGCATAGGCAATCCGCACCAAATATGTGGCAATGATACTATTTTCTTTGCTCTTCAGCCTAGTTCTTATTGTTAATTATATTAATTCTAGTTCAAGTAGCCCCTAAAAAGCTATCCATTTGGTTTTCATTATACACATTACAATTTGGAGGCATGTACCATGGAGGCACACACACTGGAGTGATATTAAACATTCAGAATTTAACTACACTTGCAAAATCCTGTTGTTGTTTACTCTCAGGGGAGCAAGACTGTCAGTGGGAACATACACACACATTGTAAGGCACTTACACCAAAAGCTACGAGCCTCCAGTGCATCCTCTCAGAAGCAGTGATCTAGTTTAATTGCCTGTACTTGCTGAAGTGAGCAAGTCTGAAACCTTTAGAAACACACTCCATATAAATTGAGCCTATATATTTATGTATATATTTGGTAGCAGGAACATCTTTAAGGTATTTGACATGTGCTGTTACAAGCCAAAACTTACTGTCTTGAATGCTACATCAAATATTCTTACAAGGTCAAGATTCAGACTATGTTCCCATAATCCTTGCCCCCACCTTGGTCAAGTTTAAATGGATTTAAAATCAATTTAATTACTCTTGATGTTTACTGGCTATTTTTATTTAAGACTTGGAGTACACCAAATTACATGGAGATTAGCTCTCTAAAATAAATTCCTTAAGCTCAAATGCTTCATTCCACCTTTTAAATTCAGTTAAAGTTTCTTAAAAAAAAAAAGGAAAAAATCTCAAGTTCTTAGTGCCTGATTATCAGAATCTGTGGGAAAAGTTAACAGTACAAGTATGCTACTAATTTTAAGAATTCCCTAAAGAAAATTAAAGTGTACCATTCCACTCTCATGAACTGTTAATGGTTAGAAAAATTCAAAATGAAGAAGTTTTCACCACACACTGTTTATACACATTATTATGTTTCATAAAAGCAAATCATCAACTGAAGAATGAAAACAGATTTTTTAAGTTCAGAGTAGCAAATGATAGTTGTCCACTAAACACATGTCCAGAAGTGTAGTTTAATATTATTTCTTTTTTACTTTTTTTTTAAAGGGAGGATGTATCATGTTGTAATATGAAATGGTGTTACAAACTGCCTTTTCCTGTTAGTTACAGATGCATGAGCTCTAGAACATGCTCTCTTCCATACCATAAAGCCTCAGACAAAACAGATGCCTATAGCTTTAAATTAGGACATGCACTCCAAAAACAGTTTCGGAATTGTACACTGGCACTGATGACCTGTGCACTAAAATATGCACATTAGCATTACCTGCCATTTAAAATTAATGTTATGCATGTATCTGCTACTTTTCTTTCTTGTAATGTCTTGTGGCTTTTATCATCAAGATATTATCAGTATCTTAATCCAGGCTTTTGGAAGTGTCTATTCAAAAACAACCTGAAGTAAACAAGCTGCTTTCTGGGGAAGCTTCCTGTGTCTAAGTTTAGGGATAGAAAAAGCAAGGAACACAAGAAAAAAGCTGGGCATGCAAGACAGACGTTTTGCCAGGGTAAAAAAAAAAACAACACCCAACACTCTCCCCGCCCCCAGCCAACCATCAAAAAAAAAACCCAAAACAAAAAATCAACCAAACAAAAGAAACCACCAAAACCCCACCACACAAAACAAAAACATCCAAGAGCCAAATCAACTTTTTCTGAAGCAGAAATAACTTCCTCCCATACTGCTACCGTAAGGTAGAAGCCTATCCAAAAGGAATAAAGGATCTGAAAAATAAGCATAAAGTCTTCTATTCAGGCAAGATTAGGAAGTACGGAATGATGTAAACAGAGGCCTCAAAGGTGTTCCTCTTGAGACACTTCTGTCAGTCACAGAAATATTTGTCCTGAATTTCTGGCTCAATCATTTGAGGATGCTGTTTAACATATTGCAAAACATAAGTCACATACACCAGGAGATGAATCACTGAGAAATCAGATTCCATTGAAACATGGGAACAGACGTATGCAATATATAGACTTTTCAGGAATTTCAAGGCTGGACAAGACAGGGATGAGAGATGAAGAATCAAAATGAGTGCAGGTATGTTTTGCCTTTTACGTAATAGTCTTTGGGGTGATGACAAAATTCCATCAGTTTAAAAATTTTAAAGAAATATTTTCTTTATGCTTAACCTTTTTTATGAATTGCTAAGAAGCAAAAAAAAAAAAAAAACCAAACAACCAAACCAACCCTGGCCTTGCAGTATCTTCTGACTTTAGGATTTACCAAATCACCTGAGAGAAGAGAGGAATGTATTGGGAAGGTGAGGGGTAGGGAAGATGTGGAAGAACATGAAAATCTGAAAACAGACCTAGAATTTTCCTAAGCATATCTTCTTCTTGGAAACTTCTATTAAGCAGCAAATAAAAGTACATCATATCCATGAAAGAGGAAAAAACAGCTTTCTTAAGAAATTAATATGTATTATCCTATATTATAAATGGAGATTCAAAAACTGGCTTGTATCTGAATGAAATCCCATACTAGGCCTGTGTAAAGTGGGTGTTTGGGGAAGTAGTTTACAAACCGAAGTGAACTGAAAAGGTTCCTTCAGGCTTACAGACACTGAAGCAGCCCAGTGAGGATCCTGTAGCAGCCAACAGGCTGATGAATAAGCCAGAGGGAAGCTAATATGTAAAATAGTCCTACCTGGTTTTGGCACAACCTCACTAACCTAAACAGGAAAATCCAGAGCTGCAGTTTAATCAGCACACTGCACCTTTAGGTAACATTTAAATCATGTCCCTCAAGAATCAGCAGCTCCTTCTGCAAAAGAACTTCAAGCTTGCTACAATGCTGTTTTCCTTGACTTATAAGGTTAAAGTCCAGGAAAAGGAAGGGGAGTAGAAATACCTGTTGAAATAAAATTGCTTCAGGCAGAAAGAAAACTAAAAAAAAAAAAATCAGCTTGCTGAAATACTGGAATTGGAGTATGTGTCTTTGAGCAACTGGAGAAGGCTATATACTGGCTCAGGTGCACCTGAGCCAGCTGTGAACAGATAAGTTTGGTTCACTGGGTGCTAAACACCTCTGTATCTGGCTTTACTGAACACTACAGTGCTACTCTTGTACTGATTCAAGCCAGCTAGTTTAAAGTTTAAAAAAAGGTATATCTGTACAAGGTGTAGCCACACTTCACTGCAAATATATACATGCACCATAGTAAATGAAGATAAAGTCATTCAGCAAGCCCTCGGAGGGTACTAGCTTCATCCAGCTGCATGTGAAAACACATTCTGTTCATAGCAACTTTATACCTAAGTTTCCTGTAAATTACTACTAATGCCTATAGAACTATTGTATACAGGTATTGCTCATCTATATTCAAGTGAATAAGCCTCAAAGAAAGAAGTTAGCCTGGCTGAAACTATCAAAGTATTTCAGTCAAGATCTGACTGAAAAGATTAAAGTTAAAAATTTTGCTCAAGTAAATTTCTAGAAGTCTTTTTTTGGAATTTCTAAAAGACACATTAGATCTTATAATAGAGCCATCATCTGTCAGACAAAAATTGTTATCGGACCATCACAGGAGTAATTAAAACATCAAAATTAAGTATTAAGGGATCTGTTGCTCACTCTAAAGCAGAATGCTCGTTTCTAGCATGGTTGTAGTTTCAGAGATGCCACTCAATTTAAGAACAATAGTTCAACTCAGAAGAAAGTCACAGTAAGAGAGAACTGTATCTCAGCTCCTGAATGTTTAGCATAATGAAGGCAAAAACGTCAGATTTTCATAACCACTCCCTTTTCCTATGTTTAAAGATAGTGCCTTATGAGTTCTTATCCCCAAAATATTTTTCTGGTTACTGTTTGGAAATCTGGAAGAACCGGATGCAGCAGACAGTGACTACTATAATCCCTTTCATATTCAACATTCAGTAACTCAGACAAGCTTGACAAGTACATACTTCAACAACAACTATGATTATAGGTTTCAAGTATATCACAGAGATACATACTGTACATACCTCTTGTGCTAGTTCTTGTGCATTGGAGATGAGAGGATACGGAGGGCTGGCTTTGTTCATGTGCACTGTAACAGCATTGTGTATCTTAAATGCATTCTGAAAATCAGTATTTTGAACAAGCTGTAAAATGAGAGAGATATCCTCCTGGCTCTGAGGGTCTACCAAAACATGCTGGATGTGCTTAAGAGAAGTTAAGAGTTCTTCCACTTCTAGGAAATAACAAAATACAAATAAGGTATGAGTTAATAAGATTCAAAACTAAGTAATGTTTATAGTAATATTTTTACAAAAAAAATTTTGCTGTTCAGTTTTTAATTAGCAATGATGTATGTGAATTTATAGTTATCCATTATTCACTGACTTTTATTAGCAGAACATATCTGAATCAAAAAAGGAACCAGAGTCAGCAAAAGGAGAAATTAAAAAGCTGATACACTGTTTAAGTTTAATTTCTACTGCAGTTCTTCTCTAAAAGAAATCACCAATACGTAAAATATCCATTACTTGCAGCTCATTGATAGCTAAATGGAAAAGGACTATTTTGCAATATGAAAATAACTCCTTTGCTAAATTAATGTTGATGGACTGAACATTCACTATTACTTTGATACGTCTTTCCATTACTATCTGCCATATATAGCAGATATGTCTCTTAACTAAGTATTGCTTACTTACAGAATGAGTATTTGATAAGTAAACCACACTCAATTTCTAGACAAAATTATATGCTCAATCTTTTAAAATAAAGATAATATGCTCAGCACATTAAAATAAAAAGGATGAAAAAAATTGTATCTATGGTCAGAGATCTGAAAGTCATCTGCACTAGAAGAAAGTCCACATCTTTTACCCACAAGATTATGAGTTCTGCTTGGACCATGAAATATTTTAACATATTTTAATAACAGGTTCCTACGTGCTTGTAGAATACTGTACATGTACTACATTCTTGAGCTTCAAGAACTAACCCGATGCTTTAAAGGTGCTTTTTAAAGACTGTCAACAAATTTACATTTTTTTTTAAGCCAATCTGGATTTCTGCATAATGTCACTTCTCAACATTAAGTGCTTGAGAAACTACCTAAAACAAGAAATGTGAACTATACCTATGATGTGTATAAACCCAGGTAAGAAATCCTCAAGTAGCAGATGTTTTGAGCCTGAATAATGTGTGCATTCTCACACATTATCTGAAAAAAAAAATCTGTTCAGCCTCAAAAGGCTGCTCAGCTACTTTTTATTTTAATAAACTCAAGTCATCTAGAATTTTGAATCCCAGTATTTTAAAAAAATGAGCAAAGAAAATCCCAAATTTTAAAACCGCCAGTTGATACTGAAGTCAATCTCCCTTAATGATATTAAAATATCAGCTGTAATTCTAAGTTTTAGCAACCTTCATTTATTCATTGTGAGCTACTTGATAGCATTTCTATTTTAATGTTATTTAAGACATCAGCGAAGTTCTATTTTTAACATGAAAAAAAATCACAGTAGATACTGATCGCTAACACTGATACATTCTGTCAAGAAGTTTACCTATTTTTAATCTCAAATTCACCAGCACACAACGCAATGCTAGACTCAAACTTGTTGAGCACAGAATTAAGATGGCTGATAAATAGGGACATGAAATCCATAAAGCCTAATAAAATATGCATTTCAAACAAGTTTAATGGTTTTCATTTAGGACAAAGCATACCTACATCTGTGTTTTCAATTTTGAGTTTGCAAGTCAGTCTTCTGTATAATACAAGGAAGCAAACAATCCAGAGCTACTACTCTTGTACTTTGCTATCTGCAGGACAATAAAAAAAAAACCACCTCCAAAACCATTCCACACATGCTAAAAACATCCTACCCACCAAAGGTCAAGGGCTTCTTCCTGTAGCCACCAAGGAAACAAAAGGCAGCAGCACAAAAGCTGCGCGGAAAGCGCGGACACCGGCTGCGCAGGATATTCCGCAGGTGAAATGCAGCACAGCTCACAGCACTCATTAAGGCGGCCAATGTCTCACTAGGGAACTGTATACAAAATATAATGCCTATCACACAGGGGAAAGAAATGCCATTTGGAGAGAAGGCTAAAGAGCACTCCACAAGCAAGAATATTTGCTAAATAGGATGGTATCAGCTGGCATATTTCTTATCTAGTGGAGCACGCAGACTACCAAAGCATCTCAGCAACTGGTTCTCCTGAGTCTGTGGAGTGCACTATTTTCAAGCATGAAAAAAGCCCAACAGCGCAAACCAGTCAGGTATTATTGTAAAGTTCCTAGTAATACCTGTTCAGCTAAAAAACCCTACACTGACCCCAAATTCTGTTGCTACTGTTACCATATACAAAGAACAGTGAAGCAGTAAAGAAGAACCTAACTTCTAGTATTTCCTATGCACACATTATTTTCTTAAACTATTTTGGAATTGTCTATCGCCCCCTTATATATCTGAGCATTCAAATACATACACACATTTCTTTCTAATACATCTTCTATACAGACGTAAATTCATGCAGAAAGATAGACATCTATACCTATAAGATAAAAATATGCACTCTTTTCTAGATGCCTCTACATCTTCTCTCTTCTGCACTTAAATAGTTCCTTCTACGACACCCTTTCTTACAAACTACCACAGTACTCTCCTCCTGGTGTAATTTTCTTCTACCCTGAATCTTCATCTTCATCTGTGCTGGACATAAAAGCCCTAAACCAAATGCAAACCATGAAACAGCAAATACCCTCCTCATCACAATTCTAAAAAAAGAAATAATGCTTGAAAGGGGTGAAATGAAGTATTCCCACAAAGCTAGCAATCCATTTCCTAATCACCTATTTAATTAAAAAAACATACACACAAAACCACATACAAATCTGGCTTTATGCATGCCTAACTCTCTCTAGGTTCCTGTTTCTGACGTCTAAATCGCAGATTAGATTTCAGTCTGGATTTTTTGGTTTTGGTTTTTTATTAATGCATGCCAGCTAACAAAAGACTATCTCTAGACATTTCCTACTGAAAAGGTTGTCTTGAGGAAAAAAGTTCAGTAAAAGACTAACATCTGCACTTACTCACAGAAAAATGTCAGGATTCTTTTGCAGAACAAGTCCATTTTTTAATCGCAGGTCAATTAAAAATCGACTACTTTTTTTTTTTAAGTCTTCTTTTACAAGAAGTTTTGCAGCCTTTTTTCCATTAGGCTATGAAATGGCTGGAATGTGACTGAGCACTGTGCAATGTATGCATTAATCAAAAGACTGCCAGGGCAAAAGTATGCAACTGCAGGGGAGGACCTGCAGTCACAGCTTAACATGTTAGATTAGAAGAAAAACAGAAAATAGTTGCTGTTTATCACCTTAAAGAGAAAGTTATGAACAGCAGACTTAAGAAAATATAATTGGCTTTATTGTATGTCAGCACCAATACCTTAATTCCCAAGCGTTTTTATAGCTCTCTGGAGTAGTCTATGTGCTGGTACTAGCACTCTTAATGGTCCATTTGTTACTTGAATCATAGGGCTAAGAAAAGTATCATTTCATCCAAAACTACTTTTATAAATACATTATAAATAAACTTTTAGAAGTTAAAGTTTTGCCCATGGTATAAAAACAAAAAAAGAGGCAGCTTTTCCCCTAAAAAAAATTTCACTGTAGCCACAAAAGGATTACTTACATGAAATGCCAGTTTTTCATTTTTCTGAATTAACTGAATGAACTGCAGCAAACAAAATATTTTCTGCATTTCATAAAACTATACAGCCAGTTAAATACTTCTATGCACGTGTTCTAGGTGCATGGGAAGTTATTTCCATTAAGACAGCTGTCTAAATCATGTGTTGTTTTGATAACAAACATGCCCTTTAAAACTGTTTTGATTAAGTGTCCTGTTTTATTTTTATAAATAAAAGCCAATTTTTCTAATCTAGTCTGCTTTTTTTTTAAAGATAAAGAGATAAAAGCCTTGTCAAAGATCTGCCAAATTAGACATCAGCACTTATAAAATACTTTCAAAACTAAAAATACAGATAAGGTCAATATTCCTATTTAAAACATATCTCTAGCAGAGGCTTTATGAATTAACACACATACATAAAAACATAACTAAAATAACTTTTTTTTTAAAAAAAAAGACTGAATAAGAGTAGTTTAACGTCTCTGTAATTCACTAGCACCTGCCCAGGTTTATTTGGGATTGTTCTAACAAAGCTTAGAGATTTGTGAAAGTGAGTAAGCACTCTTGGACAGCAAAACTGAAGAGATGGAAAGAGTCAGAAGCAGTGTAGATCAGAAATCCAGCATAACCAAGCAGACAAACTGCAAAAAATTTCACATACTAGCAATTACTCTTCAGACAATGTCATGGGCTAGCAAGTTTCTTGGAGACCAATAAATTGTAAGTTTTAAAAAAATCTGGCCTGTCCAATTCAGGTATTCAATAAAAAAGCAGAAGTATTAACAATAATGTACTCAAATCCTCTATGAAAACATATTATTTTGTGTGTGTATTTATATATTCATAAGGTAACATACCTAGCCCTGATACTAATCAGGAACAGCTTTCAGAATAAAAAAAATATTCTTCTTTTGAAATTCAACAGAAATGTCAGATGTTAGAATGATTAATCCAGAAACTGGAAAAAGAGGACATGCTTAATAGCAGAGGAAAATTTTGGAAGAGGCCAAGTTGCTGCAGAAGCGCTTTGTTAAACTGAAAATTATGACTGTTTTTGACAGCAACAACGACTGAACAGAGATTCTTCATGGACTACACAGGTTAAAAGATCACAGCATTTCATTTAGAACATACTTTTTTAAAAGTTTGCAGCAACTCAACATCATGGTTGAATATAATTGAAAGTACCACTCCAACGGGAGTGCTGAATGACCATAAATCCTCTCTTCTTAAATCTTAAGTCTACCTGATCCAAATTGTTACTGTAATTCTGTTTGGCACGGAAATAACAGTAGTACATTTGTATGCCTGTCAATATTATGTCATGACTTCTGTGATTGAAACAGATGCCCGTGAAGCCTAACTCAGCTCTCTGGTGCATATATGGATACATCACAATTTAGTCTACTTATATCTCCTAAAGCTCCTTGTGTTTATAGCTCAAAGAACAGATGATATTCACTCAGCAAGCTAGTCAATACTTCTGCTCTATGCACACACTTTTAAGCCTTATTTACTGCAATTCAGAGTAGAGGTAGACATCGTTAGTTTCTGATTTTCATGGTATTCAAACACTGAGTGGATAGCTTTAGTTAAACCACACAATTTACTACTGTGTTTTTACAGAAATACACTGACAGCAGAACAATGATAAGACCCAAACCTTGATTACAAAAGAGAAAAGAAGTTCGTCCTTATGGACAAACTCATCTAGTCACTTTTCTTCAAGATGCATCTTATACCATATGTTGCTATTTCCTAATCTCTTTCCACATACACACCTCTATATTCTTGTCTCCAGTGTTTGGTGCTGTTCTCACATCAAGTATTCACCCCATCCTAGTCTCCAATCACACTGATTTCCACCCTTCTCTTCTTGCTGAGCCATACCTAGCCACCTCCTTCCAGTTTTTCGCAAATCCTGTCTTTCTCTGACAATCTCTCAGCTTTACCCATGGCCTGTGCCCATTTTATCCCCACAGTAAGACATTTTCAAAGTAGCCTTTTGTCATCGCAGCAGTTTCTCCACCATTGCTTCTCCTGATCAAAGAGCTTCAAGTCTGCCCCAGCTCCTTACTGGTTCTCAAGCTTGCCAGACCCATTTGTCATTCCTACCAGCTTCCATACCAAGCTTCTTTGCCCACTGGTTTCCACCTAGCCCTCCCTCTTAATTCTCAGCATCTCCAGCATGAAACCTAGCCTTGGCTTTCTAACTCCAAGCCACTCTTTCCTCCCTTTCTAAGTTTCAATTTCCGATTCCTTCTGTAGTCTGTCTCCATAGCTTCTAGCCACTGTGGCTAAGCAAATCCCAACAGAAGACACATCTACTGTTTGACATCAATCTTTATATCTTCTGCTTTGTTTTCCCTCTAAGAAGAGAATTTCACAACCAAATACCTAACACCTAATGAAATTAAGTACAGAATCTCCTTCTTACAAGGAGACCTCTTGGACAGAAGATGACACTAAGAAGGCCTACACTAAAACAAGGTACATCTGCCTTGTTCAAAACTGATTCTGGTGTCAGCAGGAGGTTGGACAGGATGATTTCCTGATGACCCTTTCAACCTTAATTTTCACAAAAAGTACAATAAGGATTGCGAGAGGTTAGGGAATAGAACTGCGTCTTTAGCTCAGGCACACAAATACTAAAGATGAAGCAAAAAAACCCCAAATCAGCAATTTCATAGCTGTTTTCCACTCTGTATTCTCAACTACCAGCCAACTGGGAGGAATAGCAAGAATCTTTATCGCAGCCCAAAAAAAAAAGGTCCTTTTTAAAGCAGTCTGGATCTCCGAGCAGGTATAGATCTGGAAATCTGCCTGAACTCCTACAAATGCCCAGTGCCTCTTTTTCACTCCAGTGACACACCGCATTTCAGACAAATAGATACTTATGTTTGAGGAAGAAACATTAGATACTTTTTCTACACATGCATAGTTAAAGCAATCACAGCTATGAAATGAAGAATTTCAGAATATTTCTTCAAAAATTACAAACATTACATTTTCATCAATGTCTAAGTGCTAAAGTAAGCAGATTTTCACTATCAATGCAGATTTCACTATAAACTTTAAGAGAATATATAAATTATATTAGTCGACAATTGATAATGCAAGAACAATAAGCCACCATCATGCTTCTCTTAAAATATTAAAAACCCTTGTGGTTTGATTTTAAAAGTGTTTATTCACTGCGTATTCTGGTCTGTGCTTCAAACATAATAAAATTGGGTATTATTTCACAGAATCACAGAATTGTGGTGGTTGGAAGGGACCTCAGAGATCATCGAGTCCAACCACAAAAAAAAAAAAACAAAAACAAAAAAACAAAAACAAAAAACAAAACAAAAACAAAAAACAAACAAACCACCACACCACCTAAACACACAACAACAACCAAACCAAAAATCCATCACCCACCCACTCAGCAGCCCACGACAAACCAATAATCTTGGGCACTAGAGCATGCCCTGAAGAACCATGTCTACACGTTTCTTAAATACCTCCAGGGATGGTGACTCCACCACGTCCCTGGGCAGCCCATTCCAATGCCTGACAACCCTTTCAGTAAAGAAATGTTTCCTAATATCTAACCTGAATTTCCCCTGGCATAATTTGAAGCCATTTGCATGGTTTTCCTCAGCCTAAGAAGGATGGAGACATCCACTGAATTCATTAGTTATCTATTGGGTAGATAACTGTTCCCCAATGGATCGGTTTTGAAAAGCCACTTGCTGAGGCAACACAGCCTGATACTTGACTAATAAAAACCCCAAAACCACCACAAATCCAGAAGACCAGGAGACTTTAAATCTGTACAGGAAGAATTAGCTAAATTAGGTTTTCCAGTGGTCTGAAAACACATTTATATCAACTAATTATTTTCTCTATTAGTCTATTCATTGCATTTTACCTACCTAGTGTCTTCACAGTATAATGAGGACTCTCCAAAACAATTCCTTCTTCTGTGTCAAATATTGGATTATCTATTCCAGTTTTAGGAGGAATTTGTGCTAATTTCTTTAGCCTCATGGAAGCAGTAAGGTCCAGTTCTTGCTTCTTTCCCTCTTCTTCCCGTCTGCGCCTGATGTCCTCTTGCTGCTGACGGATTCGCTCAAGTTGAGCACTCCGCCGCATGGGCATCATCCTAGAGCCCAAATCCCCAGGGCAATCAACAGCCATTTCTCTGTGCTTCTGAGGTTCCTCAGAAGATGCAAGATCCACATTTTTTGCTTCACTATCAGAATCTTCTGTGATGTGTCCATTCATATGAGAAGTTGTCATGATTATTTGCAATTACACTTATTCCCTTCAAACAGAAATGCTGATATTAGGCCAGTTTTCGTTATGATGTTGTGTAAAATCCATTATAACTTCAAAAATATTTCCTTTCCATCACAAGACAGTTGAAGAAACATCCAGGAAGAAAACCTAATGAAAAATATTTAAAAAAAAAGTTAGTGAATAACTGCATTAATAAGAAAACACCTAAGACAGTTCTCCAGGTCCCCAGGCATCAGAACAATGGAACTTTTCCCCCACATTTACACAGTGTTTCTTCCCCTGTGAATAATTACAGAGCCCTCACAGATCTGTTTCACACATTGTAGCAAACTTCAAGTTCCAATGTTAGAAAAAGAGCACTGCTCCAACTAGTGCTAAAGTCTCTTACATTTCCTGGTCAAAGCAGTCACAAAGCCAATGATACATTATCTTCAGTATGTCCAATTAAAAAGTCATAAAATTGATAAATAGTTATGTACAGTATTACCAATACACCTAATTTTTCAAATTCTCTTTTATTTTTTTTAATTTAGTGAAAGGAAATACTACAAAATATCTCAAAGTTTTATTATACACTGGAAGAACCAAGATAAAAAAAAAACCCAACCAACCAATGTTCTTAACCCAAATATTTATGTTTGGAGGAGGAAGGTAAGGATTCTTATGTTGTAATTAAGTAGAAAATTAAATATCAGTAGTACTGTTTTGGAAGAGAAGCAATAGAAACTCCTACACAAGTTTCTGCCAGCTTGCAATTCTAAATTAAGTACAGCTTTTCATCTTCATGAGTAGCATACATACAGCAACATCAAACCAATTTTCTTCACTTGTTTCCTGTCTAGCCACTACTACCAGTTACTACTAAGATCTTCCAAGAAGTATTAAAGCATGTCGATGGTAGTAAAAATTCTTTTTTGCCTTTAAAAGATATTTAATCGCACTGCACTGATATATAAAGATTATTTCAATGTTCAACATTCCCACATTCAGAAAAATTTCAGGCAACAAAAAAAAGCCTATCAAAAGCTGCACAGCAGCAGGGCTAGCAGTGCAAGTACAGCACAATTAATTGGAGCTCACAATTAATGATCCTCAGAAAGCCACATTTCCCCTTCTGTAAAAGCAGCTTCACTGCATAGAAATACCAATCCCAAAACAAGGAAGGGTACAAATTGGGTACAAAGAACACTAATTTAGCTGTGGAGGGAAGATAATTCAAATTCTCTCTCATCTGCATTGTACTGCTATAGCTTGTCTGAAGACTGAGACCTTGAAAATTACATTCATCTATTTTCAACTCTGACAAGCTGAAAAAACTCACATTCCTCAGTCCATATGGTACAACTAAAAGGTGTAGAAAAAAAATTTGAGGGAATGAATAACATCCATTTACTCAGCACTAAAGTCAAAAACACTATCTAAGGATATGCAAGAAGTACTATGCAACTTTAAACATACTATCGTAACACTTAATCGAATATAAGCTAAGTAATGTCACCCTCACCAACGATAATAAAGCTACACATTAGAAAATAAAGCTGATGGCTAGTATTTAATAATTGATCAAAAATATTTAAGGTAGAGCTAGCTACATTTCCTTCATCAAATTTAAGAGTACTAGCTACCTATGACAAAGAATATCTTCTGAGATTAAGTCAGAAAAAGTGCAAAACAAAACCTCATGGAACTGTATACAGAATTAGAAGTTTTTAAATCTGTTTAGTTTAGTAGCAAGCATTGAAGACCAGAGAAACAAATATACAGTGTAAAGTAAATATTAGTAATAGGCAACCAGTAGTAACATTGCTTACATTTTCAGTATAATCTCCATATAAAATGCGGATGGCATATACATTCTTGGAACACAGTAACCAATACATTTAAGTGGCTGGTCATAATAGCTGCTCACTTTCAGTATTTAAGACTTAAGTCAGTTAAGAAACAAAAGTTACAAGAAGGGTAGAGTTGTTCTGTAGTCACATCTTAAGAGCAATATTAAAAAAACTAGCATCAAAATTTAAGAGTTTTAGGAGAATTTTAGATAGAAAATATTTTTGATATTCTACAAAGTTAGGCATCTCTTAAGCAAGCAATAAGCAGTATATGCGAATTAATCTCTCAGATAATAAGAAAGATTATATGAAATATCACTTATGAGACAGCCTAAAATTTGATGTTACCAAAATATCAAACCAACTCCATAAAAACCCAACCCCCAAGATATAACTAGTTGGTAATCCATAAAAGCATAGGCATGCTGCAAGTCTGGAATGATGAACAGCTTTCTTTAATCAAAGAACCTCTGATAACGAGCGACCCCTTCCAAACCTAAGCCCACTGTCCTTTCTGTTTTCTCAAGTCTGCTTCAGACATCATAAATCCTCATCTCCCAACAGTTTTGGAAAAAAGCTACTGCCCAAGTGCAACAAACGAAATAAGCACATAAGGAAAAAAAACTCAGATCAGCTCTGAAGTCCCTCCCTACAATGGCCCTAAGGACTTTAAAACGTAAAATATGACACTGATAAAATGTTAACTCAGTCCTCAAGTTAAGGTGTGGCACAGCTGAAGTAAAAGGAAAATTCAGCTTGAAGCAGGCACCAGGAACAGAAGATTATACTCTAACCAATAAGCACCGCAACCAAAGTCTTACGATGAATAATTTCAGAAACAGTTTTCTTGGTTTTTCTTTCTGAAGGTTTCCTTTGCAATTTTAAAAATCCCAAGATAACAAGAAGGGAAGGTTGGTATACTGTCGGTTCATTGCAAGTTATGGATCATCCAAGCTTTTCAGCCCAAGAGAAGCTTATTTTATTACATTAATTCTTATACTAAGGAGGAAAATTTACAGACATAATAATACTGATTTTTACTGCATCAGACATAATACACATAGAATAATATTTGGAATTAACAGAATTATTTTCCACTATAGAACTTGGTATGAACAGTTTTTATACTCCTTAGATATGTACAAGTCTGTGTTACACAGAGTTTGGTTGCTCAAAGTTTAATAGACTTAAACTATGGCCTTGACTGCCTTCCTTTGAACTGCTGATATTTAACAGGAGAACCTTAGTGTTTCCACATGACACATAGACCTTTCCAAATAAAGCAGATTTATGACTGTCTTCTATCCAACTTCGTATCACAAGTCTTATCAATATGGTCCTGGAGAGCACATGTGAAAGTCTCTTCTGCACAGATCGCTTTTACTATTCAAATTTTTGCCCTAGAGAGAAGGGTTTGCATAAACTGCCAGCATAAGTACAGCTATTGAGACAGAGCACTTCAGTCAGTCTGCTTGCCATTGGGCATCACACAAGAATTTCACTGTGAAGTAATTATGAACAACAAACAAGCCGTATTTCTGGTGCAAGTTCAAAACAGCAAAATTTAAAAACCACTACTGTCTTACTAACACTACTTACTATTCTTAAAAATACAAGGCACACATCATTTCTTCATACTGACCCCTAGCAATGTCAGGTTTCTATCACCTCTTTAGCCACCCTCAACACACTAAAAGCACAGACCCCAAAATCTCTGCCAAAGACCAAACATACATAAATGCAATCATCTTGGTGTGCAAGACAGATGGCTAGTACAAAATACAAACTGACAGGGACAGAAACAGAAGTGCTGTAAGGTGGTTTAAGCTTTCACTTGCTTCCTGGGGGCTGTGGCTGGTGTGCATAGCAATCCTAATTGCTTTAACAACTAAATTCTGTACAGTAAAATTAAATTTGTTTTGCTTCAGCAACTTCCAAAGAGCAAAAATGACATTTTCTGGAGGCTGAGGTTTTGTGTTACATTTTAGTGGTGTTTAAAATTCTTTCAATGCTAGAAGTATGATTAGACTTGATAGTTCCCTTTTTAAAATTCATTAAAGCTGCAAATTCCAAATGACTGCAAGGGAGTTCAGCGCTTACCTCCAACTGAATTTCATTAGTTTTGGCACAGTTGAGAGTACAAAACCCAACCTACATCTGTAATTATATTATAAACACAAGAAATACATATTTAACATCAGGCACTGTGAAAAGGATTTATCATCAGCTGAAAGCCATATACTATGACAGACATGGTACATTAAAATAGTCATTAAAAACAACTGGAGGAGGAATTCTAGGTTGCTGAAGTGAATTAAAAGTTAGATTAAAACCGCACACAAGATGCTTCCTGATATCTGAATTACTAAGTATGCTTAGTATATACTCATACTATTACAAAGTATGAGCATAAAATTATGCTGGAGATCTCTACCATGTATTATTAACAGCTCATATAACAGTGTGTCTTCTGGTACTTTTTACTCACTACTTCAGATTTCTAAGCAAGCAAAACCTAAGTAATAAAAATTGCAAAGCAACAAAATAAAACATTTTAGCAATTCCACAAATGGAAGGTCAGTGTAGGAAAAAAAAATTCCCAGCTCTCCCTGCATCATGTCCCAAGCATCCTTTGTTTCTTCACAATTTCCCAAAGAACCTGCAAGACTAAGAGACTTGGAAGCTAATGACATAAAGGAAAATACAACTATGCTGTACAGCACAAAATTAACTACTACTTGATGAGAGTTAAAGATTAAAGAAAACACTTCACAGATACTTCCTATGGAGCTTAACAGTACCTGAACTGGAGCAGCCTGATGTTTTTCAAAAGTGAGTTAAAGTTACAAACCAATGACAACTTGATACTCTTTTTCTTAATTTTAAAAATTCTGTAATAGAAAAAAACCCAACCTTTTTACACTAACTTTGCAACACATTCAAGACTGTGACTTCTGGTATGGTTTGGTTGATTTTTTTAGTCTACAATATTTTATATGATTTCTTCTAATTATGCTCTAGCATAGACTTAGTATTAGAAGAAAACTCTTCCTTTAATATCCAGCTGACTTATTTCTAATAATTTCAGACCAGAGTTCATTATAAAACCTGTCAAGCACAGGAACTTAGCAACATGTTGCTATTTCAAACGGCTTTCAGACATGCCAAGAGGTTTTAACATTCCATGCTCACTTAAATGTGCAAGATATGTGGATCAAAACCAGAAAGGGCTAAACCCTCAAAAGGAAAGTAATTTTCATTGTTAGTGCTTTCTAAATTATATTTGTACAAGAGCAGTAACGTTAACTTGCAACACTAAAGCACAGAGAAACTGAAAATTCAGATGCTAAGGTTAGATTCCAGTCTCATGAATTGCATAAACAAATATACAAATATAAAATAATTTTAAATTATTTTAAATATAAAATAATTTAAAATAAAATATAAACAAAATTAATTTTATTAGGCTTGATTATCTGCAGTAGCAGCAGCTCAAGAACTGCCCAGTCTACACCATCAACTACAAAAGATACAGAGCTATTACCTACAGAACAGATATGAAAGTAGTGTTTCCCATGAAAAAACATGGGCCAATAAGAGTGTACATCATGTCAATCAACAGCCACATCACTTGGACCTCTCTTCAGCAACTGCATATATTTTACTGCAAAGGTGCAAAATACCTTTGCAATTTCTGTGTACAAACTATATGAAATTACAACACAACAGAGTATATCACCTAATTTCACTGTTTTTGCACACAACAAATGAGTGTGAATTTTAACCCATTTCACTGCAGAAGCCTAAACTGCTTTCTAAGACACATCCAAAGATTGTTTTATATAACTATTCAGTGTAACACTACCCTTTATTCTTGTTGCAGTCACTGTTTTAACTTTTAGTCATATCAGACTACTAGATATATTTCTAAAAGAGGCCACATTTAATTACATTCTTGCTGCCTCAAAATTAAAAGCAGAAATGCAAGATTTGTAATTGTTATCACTGTTCAAAGTACTCTTCTTCATTGTCAAATGTCCCAAATAGCAGCTGGTCGCTCAACTGGCCCAGGGAGGTTGATATTTACCCCCCTGCTCCCCAGGGCAGGCAGCTGCAGCCCCCCATTTGCAGGGATCAGCATTCCCCCAGCAGACCGGAGCGCAGTGCTGCTGGCTCTCAGGGCAGCAGCTTTGTCTGCTCCAGCAGACTCAGATCAGGAGCTGCAGGACTTACGTCAGATGCCAGCCATGCCACGATGCTCCTCAGCTCGCTCCGTTGCTTCTCCCCAGATTCTGAGACCGTGGCAGCCTGTCTTCCAACCCTGTTAGAAATAGAGACAATTATCCAAATGCAGAGGTTAAAAAACACTTTTTGTGAGTTCTATCAAGCTTGGTCAGCAGACGGCTGAAACCTCTCAATAAGCAGCTGTAGTGACGCCAATAAAACCTCTCTAGTACAGCACTTCAGCTGTTCTATTTACATCAGTCATTAGAAAACACACATCCTCAGTGATTCAGGTGAGTGAAATCAGTTGAAGAGGTATGTAGGATACACCATGGTAGATTACTTTTAATAACATATTTTATCTCTGTTAGATCTGGGAAATTAACATCCCTTAGAATAAGCATGATCTAAGCTTTAAGAAATTGAACAGGCTGATTTCCATAAAAGAAATAACATAGCAGTCATATGAAGAGGGACGAACACATATTTTATTTAAATTCTTACCAATCTCTCTTTGAAAAACACAAGTTACATGCTCTATTACCAGCAATCTTTCTTGATTAGTATCTCAATAATGAGACACTTTAATCAGTTAGTAGTGATAACACAGGTCAAGCAGAACCACTGCATAAGACGCTTGCTCTAGTCTTAGCAAATCTGACTTTCCACCACAGTAGAAATGCTTTCTTCTTGGTTATTGGTATTACATAAATAATTAAAATGCTTCCAAAGTCGACCAACACTAAAAACAGGTGTTTATCCTTAGTATTTTCAACAATTTTCTCATATGCCACAATTCCCTTTGTTTTTAATCCACACTACCATTTACACATCAGCAATGTTTAATTTCTACATTTCAGACCAAATGAAAAATAGACATGAGGGGGGGATAAAATTTCAGCTGGGGTGACTACAGATGTGCTGGGGAGAGGGAATGACAACAGATCACAGTAGGCTTTAAGAAGCTTATTGCTAAGAATCACTTACACGTAAAAAACTTAGGACTTTTGCCATTTAAGCATATTTTTAAATTCAATAATATAGTGTTTAACTTGCCACTTACAGATGGCAAGTATTCTTGCCATCTGTATCACCAGTAAAGCTATAACACAGTTTAATGGTTTTTTTTGAACACTTGTGAGCAACTCCTAAATGCTGGCAAGACCTACATTTTATTTTAGGTGAGAAGCACAGCAGAGGGCAGTCTCTACACCAATACATGAAAAACTGAAAAAAAGAGACACAGTCAGTTTCAAAAAGCAGCCCACAGAAACAACCAACTCTATAGTTCATCAGTCTGACACCCACATTACCCCAAACCAGCAAATAGATTTACTGCTCTAGTATCCCATTTTGGCTTAGATTAATAGGCTACAACTATGCATACATTTGAATAGCCAGCTCTAATCAAGTCTTTAGCACCAACAATCCCTGCCTGACAAGAAACGCTTATTTTATACATAGATATGAGCAGATAACACGGATGTCTATAGGCTGCAATGAATAGATGATAGAACAGTGGAAGAAAAAAAGAACTCTTAACTTAGCAGTTATTCCAAACGTTTAGAAACCTTCAAGCATAACAAATGAAGAGTAAAGAAATTCCTAGAATTCCTGGGGATGTTAACTGATCTCGCAGGACAGCCAGAAGCATGATAACAAGACAGTCATTTCTTATCACCTATTCACAGACAGTCAAGACTTCAGATTTCATTGTCTTAAAAGTAAACATGCCTGTCCCTGTTTTAAACAGTGGTCATATTCTCTGTGAAATTAAAAATACTGCTGCTATTTTAGTTCTCTAATAAGATTCCCCCACTCCCTTCAAACTGTACCCTTTTCAGCTTGGACTCTTGCACCCTTGTCTCATTTTAATCCCTGTATTTTTAGTATGTTATTTTTAATGTCAATGCTTACCACTGCTTCACTACATAAAACATAGTACTAACAGTAAATGTTCATGTGTACTAATATGTAAATGATGCTTTCACTTGAGAAACATGACTGAACCAAAACTATACTGAAAATACGATGTTCCATAATTTACGTCTCATCTGACATGTAAATTCATACAAAATTGCATAAGTTTAGTCTTCCACAGCAGGTTGCTCTTCAGCCATATTTACAATATTCTGGGGAAAGAGATATTTCTTCCTTACTTATGTTTTAATGTTCCAATACCTGGTGAATCCAATAAACATGCTTAGCAACATCATCTAAAAAAAAGGGGAAGACAGACATTCCTCGCAGGCTTTCATCCAAAAATACTGAAATCTTGAATTAGGTTAGCAGCCTTCAAAGAGGCTAGACATAGGGACCAAGACTGTATTTCAACTTTCTATGACAGAGCTATAGGCTTTGCAAGCCTCACAACACTATGTAACAAAGATATATGTGCTAGCATCTTTTATACAGCCTTCTTCCTTGGGCTCTCTTCTCAACTCGTTTTTTGCAGTATTTTCTGAATGAGCAACAGCAAAGGTGTTATTTGGTTGTGTTTTTTTTAATTATTGAACTTAATGATTTAACCTGATTAGCTTCATCACTATATTTATTACCCATAGGAATGTCAGGGGAAGCAGGATAAGGATGTTCTGACATCTCTTTTCTAACGACAAAAATGAGCTCAGACTTTTGAAGATTTAAATTCTGAAATATAGAACATAAACCACAAAATTGTACGACTGATGATCTCTGCAATTCACAGAACTCATGATCACTACACACCACAAACTCAGAATAACCACATTTCATTTGAGCTCTTCTCTAGTTATTTTGCAGGGGGGACCACAAACTATTTTACATACTCAGGTCTCTGATGTCACAAGTTTTTCATTCCTAAACTCACTTGAGATTGTGGTGACTGTTCCACTGAGCAAAACCCTAAAAGAGCTGCTGCATAATTTTAGGAGTGTCCTTCTGAAGGAGTTTCACTTCATGGGCATAGTTCCCTAAGGTTTTCTCTTTCTAATTAACAACACCTGTACTTGCTTTTTCTGGAGGACACCGTAAGCCAGGCATACCAGCCATGCAGTCTATGTCTGTTTTTTCTACAATACCCACTTCAGTATTACTACGACACTGAGATGCCCTGTTCGACAAAGAACACAGAAGCCCTTGCTACTACAGAAGAAACAAACCATCCTCAACCAGAAAGGCGGCAATGGAGAGCTGTGGTGTATATATCCCCAACAAAATAGTTGGTCACAGTCCCACTTTGCAGAGAAGTACTTTGCTCAAGTGAATTTGTGCACATGAAATCTGCTGGAATGTTGCTACTTGTCATCAACTTACCGGGAGTGAGATGTCAGAACTCAACATTTTGCAGACTGGAACAACTGTTCAGAACTTGCAAAATGTAGTTTCTTTATACTGTGTCCATCACGTTACTTAATATTTGCAGAACACTTCAGTAATTTCTTAAGGAAAATCACATAATTCATATGGTTGCACACAGCTAACTCCCCTGCCGCTAGCACAGAACAAAGCTGACTTGGCTTTCAAGTGTGCCCTACTTTTGGATCCTTTCAAACAGAGATTCCATAGTTCATGAATTTATGACAAGAACTAGAAAAGAGACTGACTGTCAGTGTGATTCCCTGATCTGTTCAGCTGGGCTAGTTTGTTGCTCCCAAAGGCTGCAGTCTCATAACTCTCCTGACTGCTCCTTTACCCTTTTCACTTTTGGGGTGTACAGCCAATACCTTCTCTGATAGCTTTGAAGCTTGTCAAATATCTCCATGAGTCACCTGAATTCAACAAGACTGTAGAATGTTACAAAATATTTTTGGCTGGTTGGTTTTGGTCTAAGTGGCATGCTATAACAGCTCACCATAGTCTGAAAGGCACAAGGGGCAGGAGCAAGTGGTTGAGACCAGGAAGGCGAAGAGGTGAGGACAGAGACAAGCAGAAAAACTCCCCCCCCGCCACAGTAAAGAGCCAACTCCAATGGAGCCTCATCTCAAGGAACCATACTCTGTGAATTCATCCACTTTCCCTGCATCTCATCAACAACTACTGATTTTAAGAGTCTTTCATCCTAAAAAAAACACAAGCAAAACCCACAAAAAAAAAAAAAACTACAAAAAGAGCAACCACATACCTACAACCATTTGCCTTCTCTTCCTGATGACATGAACAGGACAGTTAAAGAACCTATTGGTTTCTCTTAAAACGCACAATCTGAGACACTGAGGGTCTAAAGGACAGCAAAAATGTGCATTTATCTTCAAGCACATTTCCTCCCCCCAAAAACGGTGAATTGAACACCAATGTCTTAAGAGCATTATTGAAGGAGATCCTACTGAAAAGTCTGAACTTCTCTGCACATCTCATTACTTGAAGATACTCAAGTAATATCTCCAACCTATTATCTTTGTGTAAATATTATAAACAAACTAGATGAGAATCCATGATTAAAAAAAGCTTGCTTCTTTTTTGCCCCCCCCCCTTTTTTTTTTTACAGTGGACAGCAATAACAGAGATAAATATTAATTTTCTGAAGCATAAAATGGTACACCTACTGGTCGAACACTAATGGAAATAAAAGTACTACCGCATCAGGCATACATATACCTATACGATGGAATTCACATATGGGTAACCACTTAGAAATGGACAAAAATTACAGATCACCCTTATTTCAAACCTATCCAATATTTATCACAAAGATCTGTTAAACTTATGAGAACAGTGCCATCCATGACTGAAGAACTCATGCTGATTCCTTGGTCATACCATAAGGTAAGACTGTTGAACAAACTTACACTGTCTAGTAACTTAAAACACAGGTCATGAAGAAAACACCTGTAGAAAAAGTCTTTATGTGAAGTATTACCAAAATTTCCCTATAGGATGTGAAAATGCCTTTGCCTAAGATCATGGAGTGAATCTTCTAGTCCAATGAACTTCCAACACAGCATTTGAACTTGAGGATATATTTCCCCTCAATTCTTAGACTAATCAAGCTGACGATGACTCTTCAAACAGTGATGTTATAGACTTCATTTAAAAACAACCTTTTCCTTCTTTGGTAGCACCTTTCTTCCCGCCCCTAATTTGAAAGTTCAAAGGTGAACACTTAATTTTTTGCATAAGC